AAATAATGAAATATTTCTAAAACTGCTTATAGTTCACATATTTTAAAATATTATAAATTTTAGTCATTAAAAAAGTTTTAATCCCAGCCCTGTTTCCATTGGTAATTATTATTAAATAAATTTGCTGTGGGCCAAAAATCCTATTTTCGTCTCTCAATCAATAGAAGTTGATTAATCGCATGATATCACTTATATTTTAGCACATTTGTCTATAAGCAAATATCTAATATACGATATGAAACATTTCTATTTTACTGTAAACAAGTTTTGTTATCAGCCCTCAAATATCTCAAATATTTTTTCTTATCAAACAGCCTACATTTAAACACATTTAGATCAAATATCTCAGCATCTGAGTAGAAGTTCACAGAGTCTATTCATCAAAATTGTTCTTAAAATAAACATGAACAGCATTTCAATTTCAATGTGGAAATGCCGCATTTGATTGCTTACCTGATTTTCAATTAAACACATTTAAATGCGCCCGCGGCCGCTTTTGTAATTTGGCTTTGACATGAACTTTTAGACAAACATTTTGGCTGAATATTAAGTAGCTTTTCCTTCTCTTGCGGTTGTTGTTGTTGTCGTTGTTACTTCTTAAGTGTTTTATAATTTACTTTGGCTAGCACGAGAATAATTTAAGTAATTGATTTAGCTCGGAAATTCTCTGCTTATGTCAAACGTTTAAAGAGCCGAGAGTGGAGCACAAACACAAATGCCTAATTTGATCAAACTGCAGTCGAAAGTTTTGTTTTCATACTGAGATCACCTAGGGCACTGAAGTACTGGAATGCTGCGGCAGCATATAAAGGGAAATTGAAGTTTTTGTCTAATGTGCGTTGCGTATCAATTCCCGGTTGGCAGCTGTTAGTTAGGCTATCTGGCAACTTGACTTTGTCTATTGCCTCAACTTTAAGTTTGTTGCGACACACGCGTCAAGCACACGCACGCACACAGGCACACGCACACGCAACACACACTCGCAAATGTACTGAGTCGAGCGCAACTGCAGAGGAGCGCGCGTGCAGACGTCTCGACGTTGAAAGCAGAACTGAACAACGGCGGCAGCTGCTGCGACCGTCCTTAAGCTTCAGCGTGCCGACAGTGAGCCGAAGCAGCACGACACGAAGCGAACGGCACGAGCCAAACGAAGCACTCTTGCGGCGCCGGCAAAGCAGTGCACATTCGCTCTCTTATTGCGCTCTCTTTGTGCCAAACTGTTGATTCTTTTCGTGGAACATATTCATTTGCCTGCGGACTATGCTAGTGTATGTAGGTATGTATGCATGTATATTTATGTGTGTGTGTATATATGTATAATTGTTGTAATGTGACAAATTCTTGATAGAAGTCGAGCCAAGCAGCGGGCCGGGCTAACAAATTGCTTTGCATGTCATCAAAACTGAGAACGGCTCGGCCATGAAAATGACAATTCATAAACACATTAAGGCAAACATTCGACTGCGGAAGTGATGGGGGTGGCAAGACATGGGTGGGGTTATCTGGGGAGTGAGAGAGTTCAGAGCTCAGAGCGCTGAGTGGGAGTTGTGAAAAAAAAGAATGAGCTGATATTTTTTCGTGATGGTGCAACACAATTATCTTTCTTTTCGCCAACCCCCAGAGGAAGGTGAACAACAATGGGTCGATAAATTTAGTTAAGTGAAAGTGTTCTGAATAATGCAAACAGTGTTTGTATATACATACATATACATGCATACAGCGCATACAAAAGCTTTTTTCCTGTGTCACTCTTTTTGTTTCACGGAATATAATGAGTTATGTTTGCTCAAGTATAAGTAAGGCAGCAACATAATAATACAATTACTGTTAGGCTTGCTGCATGATACCGTAATCTGATCTTACCCATAATCATAATCATGTGAACAAGCAGAAGGCGAGTGATTAATGTAACTAAGAGCGTTTAACTAACTTTAATATTTAAGTTGAAACTAGAGCCGAAGGCCATAGTAGCCAGTGCTGTTAAAATTAAGTTAGATCTTAATTTTTAATTATATCTAACTTTATAAAATAAA